TAATTTTTGATTTATTGTAGAGATGAGGTCTTGCCAAGTTGCCCAGGCGGGTCTCGAACCCACGGGCTTAGGCAATCCACTCACCTCAGCCTCCCAAAGGCACGGGATTACAGGCTGAGCCACCGAGCCTGGCTTATTTTTTAATTATTATGATTAAATAAAAATTAAAATTATTAGACTAGTTGTGCATATTTTATATATGGATTTTCTTCTGCCACCCCTGAGACAGCAAGACCACCCCTTTCTCTTCCTTCCCCTCCACAGCTTACTCAGTGTGAAGAGGACAAGGGTGAAGACCTTTGTGATGATCTACTTTTACTTGATGAATAGTAAATCTGTTTATCTTTAAGATTTTCTTAATCACATTTTCTTTTTTCTGGTTTACTTTATTAAGAATACAGTGTATAATATATATAGCCTACAAAATATGTGTTAACTGTTTATGTTATTGGTAAGGCTTCCAGTCAGTTGTAAGCTATTAGTAGTTAAGTTTTGGGGGGAGTGAAAAGTTATACAACCCAGGCTGGAATGCAGCGGCATGGTCACTATTCACCACCGTCTCGACCTCCTGGGCTCAGACAGTCTTTTGCCTCACTCTCCCAAGAAGCTGAGACTACAGGCATGTGCCACCATGCTTGGCTAGTTTATTTTATTTTATTTTTATTTTTTTAGTTGGAGTCTCACTCTGTCGCCCAGGCTGAAGTGCAGCGGCATGCTCACGGCCACCACAACCTTGACCTGATGGGCTCAGGCGATCCTTCTGCCTCAACCTTCCAAGTAGCCAGAACTACAGGCGCATGCTACCAAGCCTGGCTAATTTTTTGATTTATTGTAGAGACGAGGTCTCGCCAAATTGCCCAGGCTGGTCTCCAACTCCTGGACTCAGGCAATCTTCTTGCCTCTGCCTCCCAAAGTGCTGGGATTATAGGCGTGAGCTACCGCACCTGGCCGAGTTTAAAATTTTTTCATCAGTGCAAAGCTGATAAAGGTTGTCTGCCGTAGCTCTATTCACAATAGCAAAAACATGGAACCAACCATGTTGCCCATCAAAGCTGGACTGGATAAAAAATGTGGTACATGCACACAATGGAATATTATGCAGCCATAAAGAAGGACAAACATATGGATTTCGCAGCAACTTGGATGGATTTGGAGTCGATCATACTCAGTGATCTATCACAGAAACAAAGAACAGAGTACCATATGTTCTCACTCATAAGCGAACCTTGAACAATTATCATAATACTATAAGAAAGGAATTGGCAGTAGTGGGAAACTGTCGGGGTGGAGGTATGGGATTGGCAGTTGAGGGAAACTGCTAGGGGAGGGAGGGGCATACCTTATCATACCTTAGCAACAAGGGTACCTGCATAATCAACGTTTGTATACCTAACCCTGAACTGTACCACACACCTTTATAATAAAAAAAAAAGGTTGTCTGCAGTAAAGGAAAATTTAAATCTTGTCTTTAGGTGGGAAAGGAAGGAGAGGGATAGAAAGACTATTTATCTTTGTAATTCTCTGCCCAGCTTCTAGGTGAACTGAGGGATGGCACAGAGCTCCCCCTGCATCTCATTTGTCTTTATCTTAATAATCCTTCACATTTTGGGGGGAAATATTCTGGTTTTCTTCAATGAACATGTTAACAATGTCTATTTTGTAGTAATTTTCTGATAAATCCAACTTCTGGTCACTCTCACAGGCCGTTTCTATTGGCCACCTTTTTTTTTTTTGAGTTGGAGTCTCACTCTGTCACCTAGGCTGGAGTGCAGTGGCACGCTCACGGCCACTGCAGCCTAGACCTGCTGGGCTCAGGTGTTCCTTCTACCTCAGCCTTCCAAGTAGCTGGAACTATAGGCACGTACCACCACGCCTGGCTAATTTTTAAATTTATTGTAGAGATGAGATCTCGCCATGTTGCCCAGGCTGGGCTTGAACCTGTGAGCTCAGGCAATCCTCTCACCTCGGCATCCCAAAGTGCTAGGATTATAGGCATGAGCCACTGTGCCTGGCATAAATTTTTTCATTTATTGTAGTAGAGACAAGGACTCACAAAGTTGCCCAGGCTGGTCTGGAACCCCTGGACTCAGGCAATCCTCTCGCCTCCACCTCCCAAAGTGCTGGGATTACAGGTGTGAGCTGCCATGCCTGGCTTGAATTTGCTGTTCTTAATGAGATTCAGCTGTTTTTATTGAATAAAAACTTTGTAGGTTATTACAATCTTTTGTTTAAAGTTCTGAAAACATTGACTTTGACCATATCTCCCAGTATTCTCATTGCATTAATGGAGAAGAGGATTTTTGGAAGTCCTTACTTTGCCATTCCTGCTGGTGCCTTATGCATACAATATTTGCAGAAGTCTTTATCTTTCTTTTCACATACGATGTTTTCACTTTTTTTTTTGAGTTGGAGTCTCACTCCATCATCCAAGTTGGAGTGCAGTGGCATGCTCACAGCCATCCCAGCTGTTTTCACTTTTTGATTATTACAAGCAAAGCTTCTCTGAACATTTTTGTCTATGTAGCTATGGGCACATATGCTTAGATTTCTCTAAGGTGAAATGGTTTGGCCATAGTGATTACATATTTTTGGTAGACTGTGCCAAACTGTTTTCCTAGTTGATGATACTAATGAATAGCAGGGCATAAGAATTCTTCTTGATCTATAACCTCACCAACCATTGGTATCGTGAGAGGGTGCCAAGTTGTCCAGGCTGGTCTTGAACCCCTGGAGAACAGAGACTTTATTTCTTATAAAGAGTTGTAACCTTGGCCCGGTGCAGTGACTTACACCTATAATCCAGCACTTTGGGAGGCTGAGGTGAGAGGATTGCCTGAGCCCATGGGTTCGAATCCAGTCTGGTAAACTTGGCAAGACTTCATCTCTACAATTAAAAAAAAAATTAGCCAGGTGTGGTGGTGCGTGCCTGTAGTTCCAGCTACTTGGAAGGCTGAGGTGGATGGATTGCCTGAGCCCAGAAGGTCAAGGCTGCAGTGGCTGTGAGTATGCCACTGCACTCTAGCCCAGGCGACAGAGTGAGACTCCAACTCAAAAAAAAAAGAGTTGTAACCTGTTGCTAGGAAGTGGGACTCTGACCAAAATCAGAGGTAGGCACTTTGAAGGAGGGGTTGGAGCAGGAGCTTTATTCTGAATGGGTTGGCTAAACATACATATTCAACAGATTACAGGAGAAGCTATAAATATTCACAAAAAAGATCCTAATGCATGCATATTGAATACAAATATATGTTAAATGTGACCCATGTTCACTTTGGGATGGAAACAACATTTAAATGCCAGATGTGGTGGCTCAGGTCTGTAATCTCAGCACTTTGGGAGGCTGAGGTGAGAGGATTGCCTGAGTCCAGGGGTTCAAGAGTAGCCTAGGCAACTTGGTGAGACCTTGTCTCTACAATAAATAAAAAAAAAAATTAGCCAGGCATGGTGGTGTGTGTCTGTCATTCTAACTACTTGGAAGGCTGAGACGGAAGGATCACCTGAGCCCAACAGGTCAAGGCTGCAGTGACCATGAGGGTGCCACTGCACTTCAGCCTGGGCAACAGAATGAGAATCCAACTAAAATAAATAAATAAGTAAATGTATTACCTACTCTGGGTGTTGTGGCTCATTCCTGTAATCCCAGCACTTTGGGAGGCAGAGGCAAGAGGACTGCCTGAGCCCAGGGCTTCGAGACCAGCCTGGGGAACTTGGCAAGACCTCCTCTCTACAATAAATCAAAAAAATTCATCGGGCATGGTGGTGTGCTCCTATCTTTCCAGCTTCTTGGAAGGCTGAGACAGAAGAATTGCCAGAGCCCAGGTTGATTTGTTGTCTGATGTTTATGACTCAGTTAAGGTAATGCATTTTTGGGAAATCTGTGGCAATACCATAGAAATGAGGCGTCTTTCTCAGTATCAGTAGGTACATAATGTCACTATATCTTATACCTGGTGATGTTAACTTTGATGTTAACTACAAAATAACTCACTTAACTCTGTGTCCCCTTGTAGGTTGTCTGTGCACCTGCCTTTGTTTATGGAAAAGGAGAACACCAAGGTTTGATTCATTCCTTCCCCATAATGACTCCCAGTGTTACTGGGTTATTGCAGGTATTCAGTAAAAAGGTTTAGAAAAGCATTTCTACTTAGTCAAAAACTGAGAAATAATACTCTGCACATCAGCAAATTAGTGGAACTTTATAATTCCCCTATTTCAGAAAGAAAGCACTACCCAGGAAACAAAATCATAGGAAACAAAATCAAACACTGAACCCATATATCACTCACAGAAGAATGTTCAGAAGAGTTCCTTACTTTCCCACCCCAAATTCCTATTGTTATCTATTGAGAACTAAAAATAAAATCCAAAGTCCTCCAACCAAATGAATGGATGCCCTCTTGCCCAAGGGAGCCTAAGAGAAAGCTTTAATGTTGAGTTCCCAGCCATGACCAGCCAGGAGGTTGCACAGACCTCGTTATGGTTAAGGTGGTGCCTGCCAGGATTCTTCACTGTAAACCTATTTTCCCTTTATTTATTTATTTATGTTTTGAGGTGGAGTCTCACTCTGTCACCCAGCCCAGCCTGGAGTGCAGTGGCACGCTCAGGGCCACCACAGCCTCGGCCTGCTGGGTTCAGGCGATCCTTCCACCTCAGTCTTCCAAGTAGCTGGAGCCACAGGCGTGCGCCACCATGCCCAGCTAATTTTTTGACTTATTGTAGAGACGAGGTCTCGCCAATTTGCCTAGGCTGGTCTTGCAGCCCTGAGCTCAGGCAATCGTCTTGCCTCTTCCTCCCAAAGTGCTGGGATTACAGGAGTGAGCCACCGCATCTAGCCTGTAATACTAAATATTTTAAGAGAGATACCTTTAAGACTCTTCAGATCCTCTTTTCTTTCCACTAATTGCAGCGTCATTTCCACTGATTGGTGCATGTTGGAGAAGGCCGCCTTTTTTTTTTTATACTGTCTCAAGGAGCAGAAAAGCGAGTTATTGCAGGGGGGGATGGCAAGAGAGAGCAGAGGGCTAGGCGAAGGCCGATTCTGTAAGAATCAGGTAAGTGAGAGCTAGCAAAGCACAGCAGCACCACAAACAGACGCGTTTGTATTCAGGCGCCGGGCGGGCCGCTCGGTTGCCCTGGAGACGGGGTCCTTCCTCGCTGGGCGCCGCCATCTTGTGGCTCCGCCGGGGCCCAATGAGCCGCTGCGCAGTGGCGGGAGGCAACTACATGGAAAGTTCTAAAGTTAAAATGGTCATCAGAGTTATTCCACGTTGGATGGGTAGTGTCAGGTCTTTACACTCTGGGCCTGACTGGCTATTACATGTGGTGCATAAACTTGGTCTAAGCTGTGCTTTGCAGCTGAGGAAGATCCTGGAGTGTCTGGCAGCACCGAGTGGCCTCACAGCAAGTCTTCCTTGATGGGAAGTTGGACAGGCTCATAACTCACATAGGCATGAGCTGGCAGTCTGATGCTCCCAAGTGATGGAGGAGCCCGTGGGTTCATCAATAAGCCAGGA